GGAGAAGGAGAAGGAGAAGGAGAAGGAGAAGGAGAAGGAGAAGGAGAAGGAGAAGGAGAAGGAGAAGGAGAAGGAGAAGGAGAAGGAGAAGGAGAAGGAGGAGGAGAAGGAGAAGGAGAAGGAGAAGGAGAAGGAGAAGGAGAAGGAGAAGGAGGAGAAAAGGAAAGATAGGTCTAGAATCGGTGGGAGTAGATCCTGGCATAGTGCTCACATTCTATTGCTCCAGAGGAAAAGTACCCAGAATCAGAATCCTTCAGACACCACGGGCATGTAGTCCGGCCCAAGCTGCCAGCATCTTTCACCCGCGCTACTGTAATGGTCTCTGAACTGTTCTCAGCTCCCTCAAAAGCATGGAATTTTCTGAGACCCAGCTCTGACCACGCCACCCATGAGCTGCACCCTTACAATAGGCAACTCCATCTTTTTTAGGTCCATGCAGAGCACTGTTACCCAGCGGGCCCTAGTAGCTCGCTGCATGCTAGGTAAATGTCTAGCAGGTGAATGGCATGGGTGGACTCCACTGAATGGATGTGAACGGGCAACAGGAGGGTCTGAAAGGAAGAATGGGGAAGACATCATGAGCGTGGGTGAGGAATGGGCTTGAGGGGATCAGTGTCACTCACCTGAGGTCCATAGATGCAGAAGGCAGAGGTGTATCAGCAATGGGAGGCCAAATGGTCTGCGCCGGACCCTCTGACCCACCATGGTCCCATCTCTCTGATGGCGCCCGTCTGAGGCTCCTGCCTCCCTCATGGGCCCCTCTCCCAGAGCACGGCCAACCCTGGGAGGATGGGGGTCTGGCTCAGGTTGCCAACCTCAGCCTTTCTAGTACCTCTACCTTTGCTCTCCTGTTACCCTTACTGCCCAGATTACTCATGAAATATTTACCACATGATTCACTCTATACATAATGCAGAGTTGGGGCGGAACAGGGTCTGGCTGGGATGGACATAGGGGAGAGGACCCTGGGCTCCCTGAATTTACCTTGCAGGGATAGTGTGAAATTGGAGAGCCACCAAATATGAAGTTGACAAGGGCCCCTCACATTATCAGATCCAACTAGCTGCCCAACAGGGTCCCTGACCAAGGCGCCTGAGTCTCAGCATACCTAGGAATGCCCTTTGTCCCCTCTTGGGTTGCCTCAAATGCTGTGGAAATAGCTGTGGAGAGAGGGTGGGAGCTGTGTGGTCACACAGCTCAGGGGTGTCAGGAAATTTCCCAGCCTCACCAAGCCCTGCTGTCTTCACAATTATGTAAATACAATCAGAACTTCTCTACTGTCAAGATTTTGATTCTTGTATGAAAATATTTTTATTAATGTATGAGAACTTTTTGGATTCTGGTAACATCTACTTCTTGACTTGGGTAGGGGTCATTGTTCATCAAGCCTTAGATATTTTTGCACTTTGATGTAACTGGCAGGGATGTAATGCCCACGTGTGCACATCCACACCCCCCACATGCACAGCTGAAACGTACCCAGTGTGTAGTAAATACACCATTCATGCTTTTAGCTAGATTTGAGCAACGAAGTCTGGAGTCTGGAGCTGGGATGGAGCTAACATTTCTGCTATTAGGGGCCCTTGGGCTTGCTGCACTGTCTGTCTGTCTCTCTCCTACCACATCTTGCTGCTATTGTTGTTTTTGAATGATAGCCTGAGATAAGATCAGATTTTTCTGTCCCATGGTAGGAAGACTGAGGGTGGCTGGGCTGGCCAGATATCTCCACTAGTGGACTAAAGTGCCTGTTTAGGCAGAGCACAGTGGCCAGGGTTAGATCCCCAACATGCCATGCTGGCCTTGCCCCTGTCCCTGGGGCACTCTGAGACAGTGATTGAAACTGGGTGTAGTGGTGCGCCTGTAATCCCAGCACTTGGGAGGCTGAAAACAGGAGGATCACTACAAGTCTAATCTGTGTAGTGAGACCCTGTAGACCCTGTATTAAATACATTAAAAAAAGAAAGAAAGAAAAAGGCTGAGGATGGTGGTGAGATACCTGGACCCCAACGAAAGGGAGGATCTGCTGTCTTTTTTTTTTCTTGGCAGAACTGGGGATTGAACTCAGGTCCTTGCACTTGTCAGACAAGCACTTATTCTACTGAGCTATCTCCCCGGTCCTACTATCTCCCCAGCCCTTGCTCTCTTGTTTTGGGCTCACTAGGGCTCAGCTAGGATAGAGGTGTCAGAACTGAGGGCCAGGTGGGCTTTTCCTGAGCCCGGAGATCCTCTCCCTAGCATGCCACCTTCTCACGTGCTCAGCGTAATGGCTCTATGGACAGATGATCCTGCCTCATCTCACCCAGCCCACGTACCCCCAGGGGCTTGAGCTCCTATTCCCTGATCATGCAGTTGCGCAACTGAATGGCAGGTGTCCCTAGAGTCAGCCTCCCGTGTAGTGGGGAAGACGGGTCTACCTGACGCTAAGGACCAGTTCACATGGCCTGCTCTCATTTCCACCCCTGTATTCCAGGACTGGGCACGTCCTCAACACTCCATTAGCAGTTCGTCTGGGGGAAAGAATAGAGACCCAGCACCACCACCTACTTCAGGGTGTTCAGCCGTCCCTTGCTGTGGAGAGAACGTGTGAACTCAGGCAGTGTGAAGTGGGAAAGCTTATAAAAGGTGCTCTGGTCTGTGGCAAGGTTCATACAGGCCCAGAAGCTGGTCTGAGTTGTGTGCAGAATCAACCCTCCACGGATTTTTTAATCTAGGGGCATCTAGAGCTCAGAAGACTTGAGATGGACCCTTTCGATTACTCTTTCCCATTCAGAGAGAGAGGTGGGACGAGATGGTGTGTTCACCAGAGTTCTCCAGAGAAACATAGCCAATTAGATACATGTAGACGTAGAAGGGGATTTGTTTCATTTTTACTTCATGGTGCTGGGATTGAGCCCAAGGGCTAGTGCATGCTGGGCAAGGGCTGTATCACTGATTAGGTACGATCTGATAGGCTTCTTCCTTTTCTCCCTTCCCTTTTTCCCAAGGAGCTGCAGCCCCACCCTGGGAACCTGAGGCTGTGCCTTGCTGTGGGTGTGCTCAGGGAAGAGGCCCCAGGGTGGATGGAGCAAGCAGCTTCCAGGTTTTGATGTTGTGTCTCATCTCGCCACCTAGTCAGGCTCTCTGCACTCTACTATGGGGCTTCCAAGGTCCCCAGGGCTGCTATTGGCACCTGGACTCGTTGCTAGAGGGATTCCAGAGGGAAGGAGAGGAGACTGCTACTCAGCTAACCATGGAAATGTG